GGTGCCTTGATAGTCTAAGCAGACTTTGTGCTGTAGAAGCTAGAAAGGTGAGCAGAGTAAGTTTGATTCCCTGTAAGGACTTCTCTGTTGACATCCACCCCTTAGCGCTCATGTGACCTTATGCAGTTGTGGGTGCCGTAAAACCGCTACTAAGACCTCTAAGACTTCCCAAAGTTAACATCTATTTACCCTGTCGAACGCCTTTTCGTGGTCCACGAAGACGATATTGAGGTCTTGTCATTTCCAATGGCAGTCTCACACAACTGTCCGAATGCAAAAAACCGTCAGTACAGCCCTTGCCTTCTCTGAAGTCAAACTGGGATTCATTGAGTCGAGTCTCTACCATTGGTCTCATTCTCATTTCCAGTATCTTGGTAAACGTTATATCCACACGGCTGAGAGGGATATTCCTCTCTAGGCTCTGTGTTGTTTTTGTCGCCCAGGCCAGGTTAAATATCCTCCATAGCCAGAGTTCTCCGATATGGCCGTATAGTTTGATCTCTTCTGCTGTGATGTTTTCAACGCCTATCGCTTTGTTTGTGGGGCTTTTCTTTATAACATGTTGGGTTTCACTCAGCAGTAATGATGGTTCTGGAGTGGTTTCTTTCGGTGAGAAGCTGTGTACTGTTGTTTCTGCTGTAGGATTCAGCAGCTCCTGGAAATAGCGTTTCTATCTCTCCTTAATCTTTGGGTTTCTGAAAATAGGGTTTTCCGTGCTCATCATTGACTATTTCAGTTTGGTTGAATGGTTCTTCCTGCATCCTCATGCTTTTTTAACGCTCTAGTAAAACTCTCAAGGGTTTTCTTTTAATACATTTTGTTACCAGCTGTTCTCCATATACTGACCGGGATCTGTTCTTAGCTTCTTTTACTACCCTTGATGTATAGTGGCGGTCCTTTCTGTATAGGATGTAATCTTCCTCTGTCTTTGATTTCTACCACTTTTTGAATGCCTCTTTCTTCAGTTGGACGGCTTCCTTCACTTGGTCATTCCACCATATAGTTGTTTTCTTTTTCTGCCCTCTTGTTTTCCTGGTGCCACACTCTTCTTTTAATGCTCTGTACACACATGCTTTGAAGTGGCTCCATTCCTCTTCCATGTCTCCCAATTTTGGGGGAAATTTGTGAAATACATGTACATTTTTCAAATGTTCATGTATCTTATCCTTGTTATTGTCATTTATATTTCTGAGATTTACGACTTCTCATCGTTTCTTTGCTTCTGGCCTTTTCCTGTTTGGTGTGTCAATAGTCGATGACTGGTCTGTGGTCAGTGTCTGTGATATAGATGGGAATCACTCTTGAGTCTCTAATTTTTCTCAGTTTTGATCTTTTGGCTAGGATAAAATCA